TTCATGAATTGAAATTTTCAGTTATAAGGGAACAAATCTACATATATGAGGAACCATTTCGACATGCCTTTTAAAGCTTACTATACGGTATGGGTTTTGTTCATTGTTGAAAACGTGTCCGGTGACCTATAGTAGCTTGCATCCATGTCTTATGGTCACTAGTAGATAGTTGTCTCATAGACAATCATAACACATCTCCATCGTTTTTATACATCCAGGCTGCATCGGGAGACCAATCAATTTACACTGTAAATATCCTATACTCCGACACTTTTAATTATGTACGAAGATAAGTTTTCATGTACTTTATAGAATTACTCCTTCTAAAGCAAAAAAAACTTCAATAAACATGCAATATGCACCTTTCGCAATTATGGTCCATCGACACCACAGTTTATATTAAAAGTAGTAATCTTTAGAACTTTAGTTATGACACTTCAAAACTCAACTAAAAGTCATTTCCAATTGGTTGACTATCAAATAATCATGCATGACAAGCTTTTATATGCTTTGTACTACAAATACGAAGAAATGTAATTTTGTTCCCACAGTTTAAAGAAACTGAAGCTATATATCACATCCTTATTTTACGGTGATGTTGTTTACCGAGCCTGGAAACTTAGATACGATCCGGGTAAACTTATCAATCCTTTAAATAAACCATCTGAAAGGATAACGATTCAACACTGTAATTAGATCTTTGAATATTGTTTTTATTGGTATAAATATTGATTTTGTTATCAGTAAATTAAAACTATACTAAATATTATTGTTATACACATATGCACTTTCACGGTACTACACTCTGTCGATGCCTATATTTTGGCATTGCACAAGGTCGTGTGTTTTCTCCGACAGCTAATGACGTCTTTACACTAAATACATTGGATGTTGGATGTTGGATGTGAACTGATTGATATTTTAGGCTTAGATACATGATTTTTTTATTAGTTGTTATTGGCTTTGAACTAGCTGTCAGTAACTGCGAGTGTTCTCAGATCTGTACTTTGTGTCTCTTTTGTTGTTAAAATGAATACCCTGCAACGTCCAGTCTGTGTTTTTGTGAGATATTTTTTTCTGCTTTGTATCGGTCTGATGAGTTAAGCCCCTTTCAAATGAATTTTATATTTTGTTCTTATGTTGTGCAGTAACACCACTGTTCCAGGTTAGGGGAAGATTGATCGCTCTCAAACATGCTAAACCCCGCCACATTATTAATGTGCCTGTCCCAAGTCAGGAGTCTGTAGTTCAGTGGTTGTCGTTGGTTCATGTCGGTCATATTTGTTTTTCGTAAATTGTTTTGTTATGAATTAGTCCGCTAGTTTTCTCAATTGAATTGTTTCATATTTTTCATGTCGGGGCCTTTTATAGCCGACTATACGGTATGGGTTTTTCTCATTGTTGAAGGCCGTACGGTTGCCAAAAATTGCTTACATCCAATTCATTTGAACTTTGGTGGATATTTGTCTCATTGGCAATCAAACCACATCTCCTTATGTTTATATTCATCAACACATTGAAGCAAGTGGTGTCAGTATAAAAGCCTGCATTAACACGTGCATCTTTCAAGCAAAACAGACAGAGATAATTATTATATTCCTGTTCGGTGTTATCTTGATACAACCACAGAGCTCATGGTTGGCTGGGGGGAGGGGGCTTCATTCAGGACCAATCGTTACCAAAGGACACCTCAGATTTATTACCAGATTTAAATACTTTCGCTTCTTTTCGAGCTTTCTGAGAAACATGTGCACTTGCTATATAGCAAATCATCGAAGCGTTGAAGAACTTATTATGATAGAAAAATAAAATTTATATAAGTTTCCTATAATAATAAATCCTTCGGCATGGATAATTCTAAAAAAAAAAAAGACAGATATCTATACATGTCTCCTTTTTGTGATCTTAACAACTGAAATGGATTTAACCAAAGATTGCAAAATATTTAATTGTATATAGGATACATCTTTCCTGAAACTTTACTAGAATTCACAATACTTTATTTTTCTAGGTTTCTAAAGATGGCATGTTGTATTTCTGATCATGACCATTACGTCTGTACGCACTGACGTATGTACGCATTGACGCACACACTGATGACTGGACACATTGGTTCACACAGCATAATCCAGGTCCACAGTTTTTAGCTCACCGTGTTTAACGTTCAAATATATCGATATTTGCATTTTAAAATTGTTTGTTTTTATTTGAATAGGAGAGGTAGAGTAAAAGGACAAGAACTTAACGACAGAATGAAAGCATTAAGAGTCATCATAGTAGTCCTATGTCGACTGCAATTAACCTCTTCGGAAATTGTCGTTTGATATAAGCTACGGCTAAGAGCGGTCTCTAAAAACACCGCAAAGGACCTCCTTTGTGCACAAAGGAGCACAAAGGACCACAAAGGAGTTTGATAAGTGCACAAAGGACCTGAAATTGTTTATTAAATGGGGGGAAAGACATTTCTCACGAAAAAAATATTAATTTTTATTAAAATACTCGAGTTAAATCGGTATAAAGTTGAAGATTTACGAAACCGTGTTCCGTAACCGGTACGGATATGCATAAGATTACGGCCATTATCGATAAGATGTTACTATACCTATAATTATATATTGAAAAGTATTGAGAAAACATGAACATATAAATAAAGACTGGACATTAAACCGGAGAGAAAAAATTAAGCTAACACTGTTTGTAAAGATTTCAATTTCACAATTAATAAGTTTTGTATAATGAGGACTTGATTGCGCTTGGGATGAACAAAGCGTTATATATTTTTTACAGTTAATTATCAGCGTTCAACGACCGTCTTTAAAAACAATAACATTGTTGAAAAAAACAATTATATGTATTAATATATTAAAAAACAAAAGAAAAAAAACTTCAGACATATGCAAAATATACAAGTTTTCTAAATATAGATCTTACAAGCGTCGATCAAAGACGTCTTCTATTAAAGTTAAAAAGATGAGAAATATAAACCATTTTACTCAAAATTTTATCAGAAATAAAATTATATAAAATAAGAGAGTTCTTCACTGAAACATTCAAAGCTATACAAATTCAACATGAATCACTCTCAATACAGCTGATGACACCATGCATAGATTTCGACACCAAGTCCAATGAACTTTGTAACAGCTTTCCGTGTTTTGTCAATTATTATGAGATAAGACTTAAAAACCGCTTGTTCAATTATGTTAATCAACCCAATCGCAAATATGACTCTAACAGACTCTGGACAAACAATAACTGTGAGTCCATGAACCACCGGTTTAAGGTAGCACTGAACTGGAAACCTCATTAATTACCAGAACTTTTAGATAAAATTTACAATGTGATACAACTTCACCACACATATTTAAGACGCAGTATAATTGGCAACGGCAATTATGAACTTTTTGGAAATTTCAAGAAACACAGAATACAACATTCCAAATGGCAGAGTCTTTCCCAAATTGAAAAAGAAGTGCTTTACAGAGAGCTTGCCAGTGACAAAAAGTTTAGTGACTATATGTTAAGAGCGGCAAATGGTTTTGCGATACCGAAGGTTAAACGTCTCGCCAAGAAGCCTGGTCAACGTCACCGGCCAAGGACAGCTGCAGTGAGGACAAAACCAAAATTTTAAATGTTATTGTTAAATCATATGTATTTATTTATCATGTTTGTTTTATCTTAATAAATCATAATTGGAAATATAAAGTTTTACTTTCTTATACTTCACTTAAAAATATTATCATACGTAAGAAAACAAAGTAATGATATATGAGACAACAAAAAACAACAACAACACATTGCTATCCTATATAATTTTCGAAGTTTTGGTAATGCTTTACCCTTAAAAAATTACAACAATAAAATATCAAGAATAATAATTGACATTTTTATCATTTATGTTAATATATTCAAACTATTTAAAAATTCACATACACGAACTATCACTTAACCCGGATATAAAGTCGGTTCCAAACCGATACCGGTGATAACTAAAAATCGTACATTATTAACCTAAAATCGCAATTTTTATTGAAATTGATTTTTTTTTTTACATTTTTCTTCATGAATTATAATATTTTTTATGTTTTGAAATGAATTTCAGGTCCTTTGTGCTCATATCAAACTCCTTTGTGGTCCTTTGTGCTCCTTTGTGCACAAAGGAGGTCCTTTGCGGTGTTTTTAGAGACCCGGCTAAGAGAGGCTTTCCAATACTACTGAAAACTGGGATCATTAGTTCCAGCTGAAACGAAGAGATAAAGTAAAATCAGTTTAATTAAACCTAACGGCATTTTAAATATTTTATATGTTCATTAAGTTTGATTCTTTGACACTGGAATTCGTTCTAATCCTTTTTCAAGTCTGAACTGCCTCTGAACGAGTAAACATGCAAAGATGAAATTTGTGTTATAGAGTTTAATACGCATGAATTATGGAGGTCATGAAATATTTCAGGATGTCCTAAAAAATTTATGGATATCCTGAATTCGAATTATGTAGGTAGGTCCTGAATTATTTTAGGAACGCCTCAAAAATACGTTATTTTCCGTTAACAATGTTCTTGTTCGAAATGTCTTCTCTTTATACTTTCAAATTTCATTTTTTTTATTCATTTATTTAAAAGCAGAGACATGTATAGTATATATGTAGAGACATATCTGTTTAAAAGTTAAGAATATTAAAATCTTAACTTTTCTATATTTTTTTGACATGTCATGATAGTCTTAATTAATATCTGTTTACAGCAATTTGATATTATAATTTGTTTATTTAATGTCCACCTGATCATCTGTCGTTTTTATTTGCAGTTTTACAATCAGTAAAATTCACTACGTAAGATTTGGCAGTTTTACTTCGATGTTAATTAGCATGTTATTTTAAAACTGCCAAGAAGTGATAATTAGAACGCAGGTGAAAAGGGGATTAAATGTCATGTGACGTGAATAAAATTCAAATTATCCAATAACACTTGAGTAATTTTCAGTGGGTGCTATTTTTATATATTCCACGTGGTGAACAATATACATCATTCGCAACTCGGAATCAACATTAAACTAACGTTGAAACAATAATATAGCAAGCGCATAAACATGGGAATACCAATTAAATCTTTGTAAGTACTTTTTTCCAATATGAATTTCGTAATTTTTTAATGATAAATATTGTTTAAAACTTTCACATTAGCTGATACTTTTTTTTTCAAGCTGAAATTGCAATTAATTTCTTTTCTTACTTTTAAACTGTCCCTTTTAATTCAGAAATCTTTTGTTAGTTCGTGTTATTTATGTTGCTTTTATTTTTTTATTCACAGGTTCATGGTATATTCTATTTGTTCATTTGTGTACGGATTGTCAGGTAAGATCTAAAAATTAATTTTCAGTTTGTCATTTTTTATACTTAGCATTCTCCTTTTGGAGACAAGTCCACATAGAACTTATAATACGGCAAAGTTTTTCCTTTCTTTACAAATTCTTGTATTTACATTTTTGTCGAAATATTTAAGTGTTGACAGTTATAAATCATAAAGTTTGCTAAAATAGTTGTTTTATAAACTGTGGTTTTATAAAGTGTGTAAGAATTAAGGACTATTGTTGGACCCTATCTCGTTTTCTCGTTAACGGATTAACTTTTATTGTACAAAGGATTATCCTTTATTCGTATTAATCCAACGAACACCCAAATCAAATAAAAACCCTTGTTTATAGCGCACTAGTTAATAATCTTTATTACCCATAAATTAATCCCTTTTTATCACCCATGTCAAACATTTTGTTATAGATAATTTTGAAGAAAACACGGTTGCTAGAATAGTTAAAGGTGTTGTTTGGGAAGGGAAAGGAAACACTCCTCGATTAGGCGATAATGTTTCATCAAAATTGTTCCTTTGATAGGGAAGTTTGCTTTTGTTTGCGACTTAACGGAAATTAGCGTGTCTGGAGTATAGAGTGTTCCTTAATTACTCATACCAAAATGGATATAACTTGATAAAATAATTGTTTAGATAAGACACTTCGTAGGGAAGGTATCGACATTTATAGAATGCATACTAGTATTCCCATCAAGTAAAAAACGTAGAAAAAGGGGTGTCCATTTCTCAAGCGCCTGTTTGAAAAAGCGGTTAATTACGTTCTTTATAAATGAAAGTACGCCTCTAAGTTTCATTTCACACAATTTCCAATCTGATGACTATTTTAAAAGTTATTAAAAAAAAGAGTAATTTTTCATTTAAAATAGTGCGCTGCGTGATTTAAAGTTACCATGCATTTGTTGAATGGTGCATCTGATAACATTTATAGATATTGAATTCAGCGGTTGTGTGATATTTACAATATTGACTTGAATAGATCTAATGCGAAATAAAGTAATTTAAAGCTTTTCGACCATTGATTTCAGCCGAATATTTTTTTCCGCGCGATAAAAACGGAATGTTGTCATTATCAATCAAAATGCAAGACAATGCTTTTATTTTAATACTCTGTACTAGACAATTTTAAATCAGTCAATTCAATTTTACGTTACTATACAAGAAGAAAAATATAATTCTACTTTAGGTTTTTATATTTATTATCATTTTCTTTTAATTCCTTTTCCCAAATGTTTGTGTAAACAAATAGATTTCAGATTAAGTAAACCATTGAATCAACTGATATAAAACGGATAATAAAGTTTGACATGTCCTTCTCAAATTAAACAAATGTCAGAAATACCGTCATTTGACCGTACACTTTTTAAGTGTAGAATTCCGGCTTTTCGTTAACCTCAAATATAGATGTATAGCTTCGGACAAAAAACTTGGTACATATAGCTACATTCACAATCCATTATTTTTTGTTCTTTTTATTTGAAAAGTCAGTCTATATACCGCCATTTTTCATTTGTGTAAATTTATTGTATACCGTCAGTACTCACGACAGGTGCTTCTAAAACGGACTATTCTGTACACTTGAGAACAAAAATCGGGAAATTCAAGGCAGGGATTTGTCATATAGTGATACGACAACGAAAATCATTGCTCAAATTATAAAAAAAAAGCATCAAAACCAACTGTTTGTAAACTACAGTTGTATAGTCCAGATATTCATGACGTCTGTCGAAGTCATTTTTTAATTTTCATATTTATATATCCCTCATTGGCAAAGGAAGGCATGAAAGCAAAAATTAAGATATTATAGCCTTTTAATAAAGACGCCATCATTGTTTGCATTACGTCTAAACGAAACAACTGAAAACATTACATGTACAATCTACTTTTGATACATGTAAATTTATAGTCAAACTGTATTTTAACATGGGTATTATTTTCTTCTATAGTTTTTATACAAGTGTACTTTCATTCTAGATATAAAAACTGTGCAAGCTAGAACAAAAGAGAAAAACACCATTCCGAAGTCCGAATGCTGCCAAAACAAAGGAATTTGTATTCTTGGATCTTTCTGTGTCTGTAAGAAGTAAGTATAGACTTGTATTTTTCGTTTGTATGAACTTATTTACACTTTTCTTAACTCGAATTATCCGAATTGTTCAGGTGACATTTTTCTGTAAAGTGATAAATTTTGAAATTGAATCCAGACCGAATTGCTGCTGCCGGTTAATTCCTATAATTATGTTTAGATTTTATATGGCAATTTGAAGAAGAAGAAAAACAAACCATATAAATTCATTCTCACAACCAATCCGTCAACAAAAGGTACATTGTGTAAATAAAATGTTCTCAAAAAGTTGATAGCATCATGATTTTACCAATTTTTCGCAATAGCGAAGTTTAGAACATGTCAATGTAATATTTGCAATTTTGCTTTCATTTGAACCAAGCATTCTAAACTATACCTATTTTTTTTAGGAATCATTTTGGTCGACATTGTGAGCACAAGATAGAGTTTAAACCTTGTGGACAAATCCTTCATGGATCGTGGATTAAAGCCGACTGTAATCTTTGTAAATGTTTTGATGGGAAGATGTCGTGTATACCACGGATTTACGATGGCTGTGGTGAGTATTTAATTCATTTCCTGATTGTTGTTTCCTTAACGTCCAGTTGCAAACATTTCATGCATATTTAGGAGGGAAAAAAAACACACTTGAACCTTTATTATAAAAAAAACTCCCACTTTTAAAGGGTATCCAAACCCTACCGGAAAGCTGTAAAACGTTCACGCAGTTAACAAAATGTGAAAAAAAACAAAAAACAAGACAATCAGACTGCTATTTTTCAGAAATTAAAAGTAGTCGGTATTTCTTTCACAGAAGTATCGTTAAATCTAACGCTTGATAAAACAGAATAAGGTATTACTTTAGGATTTTACTTATGATATCTTCAGATACTGTTGCGTATGAAGAAAATTTGACGGGGTCTATAGTAATCAGATAGCTATTTTTGTTACTGCCTACATGCACACGCGCGTAATATGTGTTGTATTTTCCATACAAAACAAGACTATCAAACTGAAAAACACCGAATCCTCGGCAAAAATTACTCTCGGAAGACCAGTCTTTGTATTAACCAATGGGTAGTTATCTTACATTGATTGTGATCGGCATTTATGTGTTTCGGGTCTATTCTATTTACTTAGATTTTATCATTATGCAAAATATGTATTATTTTGTATGAAACCCATGACTTCTGTTTTTTTTATAGACTACGATAATAAATTACTGGACAATACAGCGACAACAAAAGACCCATTAACGGCAAAGGACATCAAAATCCTTAGCAACGATAGAGACTATCAAGATGTTAGAAACGTAGGAGATTACAATATAGAAGATTATTACTATGAAGACGACCACAACACTTCTATCGTCATCCGTTTTAGTTGTCTCCTAACTTGGATGTCAGTCTTCGTCGCAACCTTCATTTTTAGATGAAAAGGGTGCTAGCAACATTAATACTGATGAAACATGAAGCTCAAGTGCTTTTTCGTGAAGTACTATAACATACTATACAGAGGGCCCAGAAGCTCGGTAGCTTTTTCGTGAAGTACTATAACATACTACACAGAGGACCAAAAAGCTCGGACGTTTTTCGTCAAGTACAATAACGTACTATAAAGAGGGCCTAGAAGCTCGGATGCTTTCTGGCTATAGTACTAACGTACTATACACAGGTCTCAAAAGCTATGATGCTTTCTCGTGACGTACTGTGACATACCAGAGGGCCTAGAACCTCGGATACTCATGCGCTTTCTCATGAAGTACAACTCTCATACACGAAAAGAACATTTCGCCTGAGCGAAATCCAATACAATGCAAAAAACCGTGTATGAAATCTGGTTTATAAAGCTGTTAATAAACAGAAGTAGACTTGGAGACTGCAATGTACAGAAATGTATAAGAATAGAGTGAAAGTCATAGTTAGGAGGGATTAAAACGCATGTTGCGATGAAACAATTGTATAATAATTGCCAGATTGAATAATTGCTATACTAGGATTCTACAAAGGAACTTTAATGCCGTTTGAATGATATAATCACTGGCGCATTTAAAGTAAAACTGTAACTAACATCTTATGAACATTAAGTAAACAGACGCTTGTAGTAGGAACAAAAAAAATGGTAATCGAAAGTATACATATTATCAATAAAGCAAGTTTTTGTGAATTTAAAAATAAATTGTCTTTTTTTTTCTAAATGCGTATAATTGCAAAGATAAAACAAGTGTCTTTCTATGTTGTGATGTTACACTATTGTTTCAGGTAAGGGTGAAGGTTGGTACCTATTTAAACGTTTAAACCCGCTGCATTTGTTTGCACCTGTCCTAAGTCAGGAACCTGATGTTCAGTGGTTGTCGTTTATTGATGTGTTTCATAAGTGTTTCTCGTTTCTCGTTTTTTATATAGATTAGACCGTTGGTTTTCCCGTTTGAATGGTTTTTCACTAGTCATTTTTTGGGGCCCTTTATAGCTTGCTGTTCGAATGAGCCAAGGCTCCGTGTTGAAGACCGTACTTTAACCTATAATGGTTTACTTTTACAAATTGTGACTTGGATGGAGAGTTGTCTCATTGGCACTCATACCACATCTTCTTATATCTATTAGCCTTCTGTTTCACTAACAAGAGTGTCACTCATGCATAGCTGTTAGGTTCCGTATACAGCATGGATAATAGAATACTGTATTATTACGTTATTGAATATGTTTTTTTGGAAGTCTACTTTCTGCTTTAATTGATTGATTGCTTATCTTTGATTTATGTCCAGTGGCGAATATTTCATGCATGTTCGGGAAGAGAACAAACTAATCATATCTACAATAGGTATAGGTTTTGTAATAAGGGTGGACACAGATGAATGTGTGGAAATTTGGACTGTCACTGGAAAATGAGGGTACAATTTATATGGACAGAAATTTAGCCTTGCAACAGGCTTACAAACTCTCAAAGAGTTGTTGCAAGGGGTTTTCAACGCATAGAAATCATGGCACTCTCTCTACACGAATCATTGAATTTTACTGTTACTTTGCAATGATTTTTAAAGAAAAGGAATGGGATAACCCAGTTACTCTTCCCAACTAGGTTATATTTATACTATTCTAATATAAACCTCCTTGCTCTACCAGAAGTTTATCAAAACCTTAGAAACAGAAATATACTGTTATATACGGAAATTAAGTTCAAAGTCAATTGCAACTAATAAATATATCATTATAAAAACAAGGAGATATGGTATGATTGTTAATGAGGAAACTATCCACCAATGTTCAAATAAAGTAGATGTAAGAATTAAAGACAAATATACAGCGTTCTACAATGAGAAAAAATCCTACCGTATAGTCGGCCATAAAAGGCCCCGACATGAAAAATATGAAACAATTCAATTGAGAAAACTAACAGTCTAATCTATAACAAACAATTTACGTAAAACAAATATGACAGACAAGTTTGCATGTTCTCTCAGATGCTTTTTTCATGAAATGTGTGGATACAACATTATGAAACTCTTTTAAAGCAATTGATTTGTGTTATGACAGTACTTTATTCAGTTTTTTCATTTTTTGAATCGTGAATTCACCAATACACAAGATTTTTACACATTGGAAATGTGTTTATTCACTCGATAAAACGTGGTTGTTCGTCGAAAAGAACCCAGACATATCAAAATGAATCTATTCGCGAAAATTTCATATTAATGCATCTAGAACAATTTTGTAAAGTGTATATATAGATCCCATGTATGCATTTCCTTTGACATTTGCAAACCCGATAAACTAATCACAAAAACAAGTGATCGCAGCCGAACACTATATCCAAGGTGTAATCCGCTATACACAATAGGAATAGGACACATTCTTCATGCATCATGGATAAAAGCCGACTGTAATATTTGTAAATGATTTGATGGGAAGATGTCGTGTATACCACGGATTTACGATGAGTGTGATCAGTATTTGATTTATTTATTCAATTGCTGTGAACGTCCAGTTGCAAATATTTCATGCATAATCAGGATAAAACCAACGACATACAATGAATTACAGACTCCCGACTTGGAACAGGCACACAAAGAACTGATCCATCGTTCTATAATGGGACAGTGATGTAAGAGCACAAGATAACACTTGGTGCTGGTATTTATGCTCTAGTCCAAACGATATACATTAAAATAACTGTAATTTGTATATGCTATCCCTCTATTCATAAAGAAAATCTCATACCCCCCTTTAACTACCTTTTTGTAATGTTGTTCTGTAGAAACTAAAAAGTAAATATTGAACTGAAATATCTGTTTTGTGTTATTGTTACTTTTACAAATCCTTGGTATATAAGTGAATAAAATTTGACGAAATATGTAATTTAATTTACATTGGTAATATGTTAATAATATCAGTATAAAAATGAACAGATGTGGTATCAGGCAGTTTTAAGGTACCAATTAACAATAAATTGCTTCGCCGGGCGCAGCTGGATACGACCGCAGAGGTACAACCCTGAACAGTTGGGGCCAAAATGGACACAATATTCGCGCTTGATACAGGTCTGAATTTGGATTGTAATTAAATATTTGACACATAATAGGTTTCTGACACAGAATAACTGTAGTCAAAGAACTTAAAATTGTTTATATGATTTGAATTTATATTCAATTTTATGTTTTTGTGCAATACACTGTGACTGTGCAACTTGCCCCCCCCCCCCCCCCCGAAAATTTTTTTTTTTTTAAAATTTACCCATTTTTTTTTTGTTTTTGTGCAATACACTATGCTGTTGCGTATTGACCCCCCCCCCCCCAAAAAAAATCCCCCCCACTTTTTTTTTTGCAAAAAAAAATAGGTGAAGAATTGTACAATTTTGTTTTTGGATTACCTCCCTTACACTGCTTTTAAGTTGTCCATTAACCGGGAAACCCTTGTTTCCCCCCTTTTTTTACCCCAATTTCCATAACGGTTTGAGCAATAACCCCCAAACGCCAATCCTAACCATTCCTTTGTGGTATGGAAACTTGTGGTATAATTTCAGAGAGATCCATACACTTAAACACAAGTTATTGTCTGGAAGTTACAAAAATGCTTATTTTTTGCCCCTAATTCCTTAACTGTTGGTACAATAACCCCCAAAATCAATCCCAATCTTCCTTTTGTGGTATTGAATCTTATGGTAAAATTTCATAGAGATCCATTCACTTATACTAAAGTTATTGTGCGAAAACCAATGTGTCTTCGGACGACGACGACGACGTCATACCAATATACGACCTCAAAAATTGTTTGCGGTTTTTCGGTCGTATAAAAACCGAAATCAAATCTTCAATTATATTTAGATTACTGTGTAATTAAAACAAAATAAAATATATAAATAACAAGAATATCAAAACAAATAAAGCAAAATCAAATTAACTTAATCAAATCAAAATGAAATATAACAATAACAAGAATATCAAAACAAAATCAAAGTAATATACCTACAACATTTTAGTAAGTAAATTTATTTAGAGTCGGGTATGATATGTAAAATTCAACAAGGTAAACATGAGCTCTGTAGAGCTCTTAACCGACTTGATATTTAAAAACGAATAACAAATTATAAGCACATTTGACAAACTACACATACAAATAAAAACACATGCCTAATATAAATTAATAGCTAAGAAAACAATGTCAAAGTATTTATGTCTTAATACAAGAACATGCATGAGAGTCAATATTTATTAAGATTGTTCTGAATAACAAATGTAAGTTTCATTTTCGCATGCAAGGGCGTCCACTCTGACATTTATGACAAAGATCGCTGCGGTGGGGTTTGTTTGGATCGGTATGACGTTCTGCGTTTTCCTCCCTTGAACAAGTACAATCGCTCTGACCACAAATCGAGCATTTCAGCTTTTCAAGTCGGTAAGGGTTACAAGCTTTCTTACACTTTTTGCAATCCTGTTTATAGTATACCTGAAAAAGTTAAACGTTTGGACATTATAAAAGGTACATATGGCTATCTTGAACAGACAATAATAAGAATTACGAGAAAAGATTTGAAATTTGCAACCGTTTGGACAGCAACAAAACCATTCTTGAAAACAGTAAGTTTAACAGGTCTCCTTTAAATAAATCACAGTAATATATTAAAAAAAACCAAAAAAAAACAACAACACTTAACATTTATAATGCAGTAGAAATGCAACTTCCTGGTACTCAGCATGATATAAAAACTGCTTTTTGTACCCCTTTCAAATATAAACGAACTAGATTCCCCGTAACCTTTTGTAAGGTTTTTAGAGTAGAACTATGAAAACGCATACAAAGGACTGTTAACACCATACAACGCAGCAATACAATATCAAATAATCAACTCTATATTTACTTATATTTTCGGAAAGGAGACTCAGAGGACAATTTTATTTTCTTCCTAGACATTTTCATAAATTGGATAAATCAAAAGTATATACGTAATTTTAATGATATGATAAAAAAAGTCCTCTAAGACCTTTAATTAAGTGTAGTCCAATTAGTAACAAATTATCCTGCATGTACACAATATCTGCAGTATAGCAGAAAGCGAAATGGGAATTTTGTACTTAAAAAAATCTTCGAACCCTTATGACCGTTTCTAGGTCCAAAGTATGTCAATTTGAACAAAATTAAAACGCAATCTGTTACTACTCATCATACCAAGTAATTGCTTTATGTCTACAAGTAGGAAGGAATTGAAGAGAAAACTCAAATTTATTAAACTATAGATCTGTGATTTCGCTAATGCTCACAGGAGATAAAGGAATAAGAATAAGAATCGAAATATTTTATGAACACCAATTAAAGGGCTTTTTTTATGTGGGAGTAAGAGAGTTAGTACAAATTAAACCATTGCCTTGACGTCAAAGGTCCGTGTATATTTGCGTCCATTCGTTTTTTATTTTGAAATATCAAAAACAAAAAACAAAAAACGCGATTGTTTTCATTTTTCGTTTTTGATTTCTGAAAAACCAAAACGAAAAACAAAAGTGTTTTCATTTGTCGTTTTTCATTTCTCTAAAACCAAAACGGAAAACGAAAGTGTTTTCATTTTTTGTTTTTGATTTCTCTAAAACCAAAATGAAAATTAAAAGTGTTTCCGTTTTTCGTTTTTGATTTCACTAAACAAGAATTTTGTATTTAATTTT